GAACTACTGCTCACCTCCTTACCAAAAGCACCATCACTGTCAAACCCTGAGATGAAACATGAAAAACCAACAGATCCCATTCCTGTCAGCCTATATGGCAGGAAAACATCTGACAGGACTGTATCTGCACACCTGTGGGAAATCAGAGTCTCTATTCACACGGAAAAGCCACGCCAAGGGATTATCCACAACACAACAGCTCCACAATGTGCACATTAGGTAGGCAATTTAAAAAATGAGAGGATAACATTGCATTCAAATAATTTAAATCATTCTTTATATTTGAAGAAAGAGGTGAGGGAGCCCAGCATATAGTAGAGGCTCTGTTGAGGGTAATGGCCAATTGTTAGCCATGCACATTACTTTAACTTACCTTACTCACTAAGTGCACTGCATATTATAGATATAAATGAAAATAGACATTTAAAATATAGTACCATGCTTGTTTTGCAAAAAAATATATAATAATAATTCTTTTGATTTGTTATTTCTTAAAGACATTTTATATGCTTCATACTATTTCAATTAGCTATATAAACAACCCAAGATTGAGTAAATTACATTTGCCATACAATTTATTAACTTTTCTTCTCTAAGTTTAATCCTTAAATAAAAGTTTTATTTTTTTACTGCAATTCATTCATGATGACAGACTGGAACATTTCAGAACATGGAGTAATAGAAACAGTGCAGTGTTTTGATGTCTTCAAAATTCAGGAATTTACACAATTAATCTGCACTCATTTAAAAAAGGTTCCAAAAAGTGTGGTTTCCAAGAAGCCATTTCAATATAATGTAAATAATTTAGGGTTCAATGTATTGGTGGCTTGTTCATAATAATTTGTACGGAAATGTTTGACTACTAGAAATGAGTAAGCATCAGTGAGTAAGCATATAGTTCATGAGTAAGCATTAGAAATGAGTAAGCATATTGTTTAACATAACCATCACTGTTGTGTGAGCAGATTGAATGAAAATGTTTGAATGAAATCATACAATTAGACATTAAATCACCAAAATGTAAAATACAACTGCGATGGGGTTTTAGAACATGCCATTGAGGACCTTTTTTGCTTCCCAAATAATGTTTGAGTGACCAGTTCCTAAAATATAACGGTAACACGTTACTTTGAATGTCCATTTGAGTATTAGTAGACTGTCTGCTTAATATCTGCTGCTACTGCTCCTTTAACAGACATTTAACTGACTAGAAGAAACTGCAAATGCATGTCAACTTACACTAATCCTAACCCCAACCCAGTGGTCACGTTAGACTTTCTCATTGTCCGTCATTTTGACCGAGAGGGTTGTAAAAATTCTGTCATAACCTATTATTATTGCTATTATTAACCTACTATTATAATAATGAACTTGCACGACGAGCATATAGGCTAAATTATTCATTTATTTATTTGACAAATTGAACAAAAAATGTTATCTGCCTTAACTCATATCTTCCTCCTGCGTTGACCTGAACTGGGTGCTTGCCTGTGCATAATCAAACGCATCAAGGGAGACTGATGCAGAGGCAGTTGTCATTAAATTCTGTGTCTTTGCCTCGAAAAGTCGACTTCTCGTGACCAAAGACCGGATTTACTAGCGCCACTTCAGCCAGCGTTTTGTAGTGAGGAAACATTTTTCCTAAGGCTGTGATCAGAACTAAGTTTGCTGGATTCTCTGAATATGGGATTTCTCGATCCTGCAAGCACCGGAAAAAAAAAACTACAGCATGCGCTCCTTCTGCACCAGGGACGCGGCTGAACCCCTCTGCGTTCGGTAGTGCTCACAACGCACTCCAAAGCACCTGACCTCCTTGGTTGGCTCATAACAGCTGTTGGCGACTGAGGATTTTTGTCTGTTTGTTCTTCATCGTCCACTGCATCACTTTTTTTTTTTTCACCATTATTATTAATATCACAACTATTTGGCCGTTTAAAGAAACTTCTCACACTCGGCTGCTGTGACATTTTTGCAACTGTACACAGCGGTGACAAACAGGAGACAAAACAAGGACAATTGCCATCCGCTGGAAAAGAGTGGGAAGTACAATTAGCTACAAATTACAATAGATCACCCTCAGCATAATCCGTCAAAATAACGGATCACCTTCAGATTTTTCCGTCACTGCTGAAAAAAAATCCGTCAATGACGGAAAATATTCAGTTAACGCGACCTCTGCCCCAACCTAACAGTCTACCCATAATCTAATGAGAATTAGTTGGCATGTAGATGCAATGTAACTTTAATTCAACAAACAGACCATCAAAATAAAGTGTGACCAATATAACTATTAAATAAATATATTTGAAGAGTTCAGATGCAAAAACGTCATCTGAAATGTCCATAGAAAATGAGCATTATTCTCAGCCTCCTTTATTTATGTTGAGTTATTTCACTTTGAAGACCCTATAAAGAACTTATTCTTTGCCATGAAAGAGAAATTATTGAACCTACACACAGGAGACTGAAATAAATTATATTTTTTGAAGAAAATCTCAAATGGCACTTAAAGGTTTTTGCATCTGAACTCTTCATTTTCTCTATATATATATTTTTTCAATTACATTCATTACAATTTATGCACAAATAATAATAAATAAAGTGTCTTATGCTATAGGGTTTCATCCCATAGAAAACATAAATGAACAGGAGACAAGTCAGGTTTTCGAGAAACAAGAATTACAACCAACCAAAAGATATTCTATTTAATTCTGAATACGCAGAAGATGCCTCAGCTAATTAAAGGAATATGAAAGTAAAAAGCTTTTCTGTCATGAGGTGCTTTATCTTGGCCAGACAGCATGGTGCTTTCCAGCGATAGCAAAGGGAAGCTAGACACATAACGCACACGGATAGCTGCACTTGGACAATTTGTGATACCCATGTTTGATAGAGAACGCAACACACTGCTTTGCAAATTAATCTCAAACAGCAGTATGGCTCTAAAGGGCAGGAATCACCCAAGCAACTGGAGTTATTTTTAGTAATTATAACAAGTTGTTATATTTAAGGTAAGGTGTGAGCTGACATTTAGTTTAAATAGGTCACATAACCCTTAAAATAAACTGCTTTGGAGTTCATGTATCTGCAAGTACTACAATAAATGCACTGATTGTTCCAGAAGAAACACAGACTTTGTGTCATTGAGTTCGTACAGTATGAGATATCAATACTAAATGTTATACTATAGGATGATTATGAATATTGTTATGAATGTTAAGTTGTTTGATCTAAAAATAGCCTGAAATAGGAAACATAATAAGCTGTTATGGTGAAAGTTCATGATTATAGCTGTTCTAAACATCAAAATATAAATATTGTGGAAAATATACAATCTTGTATTGGTCAATATGAAACTCACACTCCACCAATCGGAAAGAAATATGGTTTATGAAAATGATTAAAGGGAAATATTGATTTCCAATGCCCCCTAGTGTGGTAAGAGGCTGATGTTTAATACAGCAAAGCTGCTCGCAAACATTCCACCACATACAACTTTAAAAACCTAGTTTTATATTAATGGCAAAAATAAGAAAAGAATATTCATCTGTTAGTGGCTGATGCTATAGCTTTGAACAACTCTGTCTTTCCTGCATCCTGCAATGAAATATACCATTTGATAAGAAGTTTTCATGGGATCACTATATGTATCTTAATGTACATAATGCAAACTCTAGTGCAGAATAGACACTAGTGCAGAATAGCCATACTCATTCCACACAAACTATGTAAACAATATATACGCTGAGACAGTTTCAAGAGAGAATGAGCCATCACTGTCAAGATAAGTGTGTCTGTTTAGGGAGGAGGAGCTGCAGAGAGCCCAGTGAAGGACAGATAAAACATCTGCTTTGAACAGAGAGAACATTTCCTCTTAAATTACCTCCCTACCTGACAGAGAAAATGTGATATCTTACTCTCCCTAACTCCCAAAAGCCTGAAATAAAAGCCTTTAACACGCTGAGAACAGTTATGAATAGGACCATATGAGACTCTTATCAAGTGTCCGATTACCTTTGTGCTGAAAACACATCTATATTCTATCTTCTGGAACATTAATAACACACCGGAACAATTATTTTTGTACAAAGTTGCAGGAAGAACATTGTTTCAAATTTAATTGGACACATATGTTTTATATACATGAAAACATGAGTGTCTATTCATTTAGTGATTTCCCGTTTTAAGAATTATTCTCATTATAATACATGTGAAGCAATCACTATATGAGTGATATGATGTAACTGAAGACACATCAGTGGCCATAAGGACAAAGAGTATCAAAATACTACTCTGGTTTCCCATGAAGCAGTTATAGAAGTCATAAAATATTCAGCTGGTAAATTACTTAGAAGTTGTAAGACTTGGTAAACAAAGCGCTGCAAGCTTTATTGTTGTGGTTACATAATTAAGAGATCTTCATCAAATATAACACAATCAAACGCCATTGTGGCTGTTGAAAGCATATTGAGGTTCAAAAGACCCTGGTGGGTCTTATTTTCCACATAATGTGATTTATGGATTGCTTCTTGAAGTTCAACTGTGTAGGCCTATTTATTATTTCCAGAGTGATACAAAAAGTGTTGGGAAATTCACTATTGGTGGTGATATTACACAATGTACGAGTAAAAAAAAAAAAAAAACAGACTTGTTTTTAGAACACAAGTGTTTTTATGTTTGCCTTTTACTTATCTTGGCCATCTGCATCCTTTAGCTACACTGACACTAGAACTTAGATTTTTTTGTAAAATTATCAGACAATAAGTATTCATAACAACTTATCATTTCAACTAGATATTAACATATCTAATATCCTAGAATGAACACAATACACATCAACAGCAAACAAGCCTCTTCAGGAGAAGGATAAAATCCAACTTATCTCATACAGCACGTGCTTTTATGCACTGATCACATGCAATTCGGTGGAACTGAAACAATACAAAATAACAGCAAACACAAAATGTAAAGAAAAAGTGCTGATATGAACAGAGTCTTACCTGCAAATGCCCCTGGTACATATTTAGTGGAGAATAAAAAAGGTCCCAGATCACAGTTAGATGAACACAAGAAATATGAGGAGACTTCTACTGTTCATGCGCGCAAGAGAGTTCTGAAAGTACTGAAAGTCCAGTTTGGGGAGTCGTCGCACTGGAGCTGTCTCGTGGACTAAGTGCTGAATTTGCTTTCGTCACCGACGCACTTTATAGGGTGAGGAGGCTTGAGTGCAGCCGCTCCGAGCTTCACGCGCGCCGGCGAGTCTCTTCACCAACTTGCTGAGGCGCGCGACGGATGCGCTGAACGCTCGAGAATCTTGCCTACGTCATAATCAAAGCCTCAGTGTGGCTCTGAGGGGTTTTTATCGTAGTTGGTCTGATTCTTCAGCAATTCCTCCCTCCTTTATCAGACTCTCTCTCTCTCTCTCTCTCTCTCTCTATCTCTCCTTACCGACTGTCTCCTCCTCTCTCCAGCCTAGAGAATTTAGGCGGAGTCGGTTCCGTCATTCACGGGAGCGTCGCTGCACGCGCAGATGCTCAGTCCAGGTGTTCTCGTGGTTATTTTGTTCAACCAGACAATAAAGCAGGTGAATGTCTCGATTTTTCTCTTCGTGTGCTGTTCTTCTCTGCCTCGGAGCAAGGAGGCGCCACTTCCATTTGTTTTATTACATAATAGTGTGTTGATGGGAAGAAATACTTATTATAAACAAGCTTATTAACAACATGCCAATTAATAAATGCTTGTTTCTTATGTTTGTTTTAAAATGATAAAATGCATTTCTGGCCTACATCATGAATGCAAAAAGGAAAATAATGTTTTCACAATATAAAACTGTGTACTGGAAATAGTTTAATCAGCTTAACTTACAATATTTTTATTGTACTGTATTATGTGCTAATGAATGAGATCACAGGACAAATGTCAGTTCTATTAGTAAACATATAAGCCATAGAATTATAAAATTCCTATATAAAGTATGAATCTCTTCTACAGAATAGAGCAGCTCCTTTATTGTCAGTGAAAAATAGGCCCTCTGTTCAGTTAATAAAGAATGGTGATTAGATTAATGAAATATGTATAAGAGTGGGCAAGAATAGATTTCTTCATTTATTTAAATAAATTGTCAGCAGCAGGATTTTTTTACAACACTCTGAGTATGATAAATGTGATCCCTAGCTGTTAAAAAAAGTAAGACCCGGCTATATTTTTTTCCATTCCAGAGCCTTTACATATACAGTACTGCTATAATATAGTACAACTGAATCTATTGAGAGGTTTCATGGGTTTGGTGAGTATTGTGCTCTTGATCAGTCTGCAGCTGTCTAAGAGGGGTTTTTTTTTTTTTCTGTCAACAAAACAGCATCATCATTAATCCCTTATGAGAGTTAAAGATCCACCTGTGTTTGCTGTCTGTGTTTGTTTGGCCTGCTGTTGGTTATACGGACATGTGATGTCAGTGACAGATCTATGGTTTATGGCTGAGAGGAGTTTAGCTCCAAGTAAGGGTTTTCCAGGCTTGGATGGGAATACTGATGTCACTCAGTGACACTCCAAGCTTGCAAACAAACCAGGACAAATGGAAAAAGTGAATGCTGTTACATCAATAGGTCTGAGTGAGCTCTGGGGAAAACAAAAACAGAGAACACGGATGTGACATCATTGTGAGCATAAACAGTTTTTAAAATACATTTTTAAATTAGTTTAAAATGTATGCTTTTATATCAAGTTTATTAAATTATGGTTTTAGGTCTTAATGAATTTGATTTCAGTATTCTGCTTTTAATTTCCTGCCACTTGAATTGCATAAATAAAACGAAGAATAAGGTTATTTTTGCGCAAATATTTATTTATCTACAAAAAGTGCTAGTGCTAAACTGAGATAACACTACTCATTCCTTCACCCCCAACAGCCAACACCACCAAGTCTGTCAAAAAGAACGAATTATGTACTGTAATACTAATTAGATTTGACTACATGTATTCATTGAGTCAGTCAGTCAGTCAGTCAGTCAGTCAGTCGGTAATTTTTATAATCTGATTAAAGCTACATTTTATGGACTACTTAATTTTTTTAAATAAATAAATAAGGAATAAAACATACAATGTATAATGAAATAGAGATAAAAAATAGAATAGAGATAAAATATTAGGTGCTAGTTATTGGTGGAACCTTAAGGATTTGTGCAACAAGGACAGGCCCAATATTTCTAATACTACACTAGGCAAATTTTAAGGACTGGTCAGTTTTAAGGGTGGTCTTAAAAGTTCCTGATTGTCTTGAAAGAAGCCAAACTTGATGGAGAAGGTGCGATTAAGCTTTTGATAGGCTAAAATCTAAAGATGTTTTGATTTGGCAGGGTTGAATTAAAGGTGACGGTCCTTCGGTAACACTTTATTTTGATGGTCCCCCTTTAGATAGTCTGTTGACCATAAGTTACTTTTTAAGTTCTTATCTGTTTACTCTCATCTGGGTAGTATCTGTAGATTGTCTTTTAAATGTTTCTAGGCAATCATTACAATGTCTACAACATGTAAACATTCATTAAACTTTTGGTAAGTTAAGTGTTACCAATATAGGTTCTAGATGGTCAACAATGTATCAGTAAATATGTAACAAATCTTCAACAGATGTTCAACACAGTATCAGTAGATAAGCAACAAATCCTCAGCATTAAGGTTCTAGATGTTCAACAATGTATCAGTAAATATGTAACAAATCTTCAACAGATGTTCAACAGAGTATCAGTAGATATGCAACAAATCCTTAACATTTATTAAACTTTTGATAAGTTACGTGCTACCAAATTAGGTTGTAGTGTATTACAGTGTATTAGTAGATATGCAACAAATCTTCAACAAGTTTTCAGTACATTTACCATCAAGATTTTTTGTTGTCAGTGTCTGCATGTAGTTGTTAATCAGTTTATGAATAGACCTTCAGTAAACATTCAGATGCCTATATAGCAATGCAACATAATTTAAAATGAACTTTAAACAAATATAAAGTTAGGGTTAGGTACAAATTTCATTTATGTATTTGCAAAAGTGTTCAACTAACTATTCGTTGCATTTAACCTAACTTTCAGTAGACAGTTAGTTTACTTTAAGTTACATTTATCTGCTCATCTGTTGTCATACTAGGCCCATCAAAATGAAGTGAAAACCTTAGAAATGCTGTTGAATGACTGTAAGGAGCCAACATCACAGACAGCATGGTACTATTACTATTCTGTAAATGTTCAGCAGATAGTCAACAGACAGGTAGTAGCAACACTGGTGCAAGTATTTGAAGACACACAACAGCACCACACATACAAAAACATAAAAATAAATACCAGAGTCATTAGTTCGTTCAACTGCTTTTAATGTATTGCTGTCAAAAAAAATGAACAGCCCAGATAATTAAGCTAAAGAAAACATTAACTTCAGGACAACTAAAAACAATTGTTACATTTGAAGAGTTTAGATGCAAAACCATATCCGCTTGTTAAGTGATGACGTATGTAATACTGTTTCCGGGTCCAAGTCACCATTCATTTGAGTGGAGAAATCATTCGTTTATGATTACGTTTCATTCCTATCACACATTAAAGTTAATTTTATATAAAACCATAGTGTACACAACAATCTCTGGGCTTGCTGCATAACAAATACCAAAAATGTAACAATTAAAAAAAAATAAAAATCACTTTTTGACATCGGATATAAGGCATGGACATATTCACTGCGATCGTGATTTTCGAAAGTATTAAATCGCTTTGCAAACGTTTATTATTACCATTTCATGAGTCTCCCCATTCAGTTGAATAGAGTTGACTTGGACCCGGAAGCCGCTTCGCGTGACGTCACACTTGACTTAACAAGCGGATAACATTCATTAATTCATATTTTTTTCAGCTTAGTCCCTTTGTTAATCAGGGGTTGCCAAAGCGGAAGGAACCACCAACTTATTCAGCATATGTTTTTATGCAGCGGATGCCCTTCCAGCCATCACTGGAAAACAACCATACACACTCATTCACACACTCATACACTACATACAAATTAGCCTACCCAATTCCCCTGTACCACATGTTTTTGGACTTGTCAGGAAAACCAGAGCACCCAGAGGAAACCCACATGAACATGGGGAGAACATGCAAACTCCACACAGAAACACCAACTGACCCAGCCGAGGCTCGAACCAGTGACCTTCTTGCTGTGAGGCAAACATGCTACGCACTGCACCACCATGCAGGCACCATATACATTTTTTTCTCAGTTCTGCAATTTAACTTTTTTTGTGGCAATTTTTTTTTTCATTGTCTTTAACATAGAAGGCTGAAAAAAAAACTAATTTTAGAAAAACAATTTAAATGGCAGGCAATGTGGTGGCGCAGAGGGTAAAACGTTCGCCTCACAGTAAGAAGGTCGTTGGTTTGAGCCTCAGCTAGGTCAGGTGGCATTTCTGTGTGGAGTTTGCATGTTCTCCCTGTGTTCGCGTGGGTGTCCTCCGGGTGCTCCGGTTTCCTCCTCAAGTCCAAAGACATGCGGTACAGGTAAATTGAGTAGGCTCAAATATGTGTGTGTTTGGATGTTTCCCAGTGACGCATTGCAGCTTGTAGGGCATCTGCTGTGTAAAACATGGAATGGTTCATTCCATTGTGGCAACCCTAGATTAATAAAGGGACTAAGGTGAAAAGAAAATTAATTAATATATATATATTAATAATATATATAATTTATTTTTTTTATATATTTTTTAATTTTTTAATTTTTTTAATATATATAAATTTTTTTTTTTTGGCATTTTAAGCTAAGCTTATTGTGCTGTAAGTTTTTGCTTCTACATTTTACCAACAGTAAACAGGAGCATTACTGAACAAAGAAACATACAGTAAACATGGCAACAATAAGTGACATAGCAAATCTACTCTAATCACTTATTCAGATAAAAAGACAAAAGTGAACCCTTCCTTTTCATTGATACAACCTTTATGCAAAAATCTCCAAAACTGAGCTCTCTACACTTTTGAGCGAACTGTTAATTTTCCTGGTGTGAAGCTGATGCTGTTAAATTGCTCCCTGTTAGCAAAGTACAGCTCTGCAATTGCAGCAAGCTGATCCACTGCATTTTGAGAGACACCTTCTCTCTGAAACGCTCTGGTCATGGTTGGTCCATGTCTTGTCCGCTTCAAAAGCCTTTTGTAGCAATGTATGACATCACGAACAGCTGAAAAACAATTTAAAACATTAATACCTTCATGACCAAATAATCACAATGCAACCACCTATCGTAAGCCTAATGAGCACGTAAAATTATAGAAATAAGTATCATTAACATGCACATTTTTGTGTGTGTGTGTGTGTGTGCGTGCAAGACAGCATGTGCTAGGGTGTGTAAGAGAGAGCCAGTACATGTTTATGAGAGAGCATGTAGAAGTGTGTGTGTGTGAGAGAG